ATGACTTCACTTACCTCAGCAAAGGCCTGGGTGTGTTTATCCCCCCGGAGCTGCCGTGGCTCTCCCCCTTCTCCCGGAGCCCCAGTGCGGCCGCTCCTCTACCCCGCACCCCGGGAGCCCCGAGCGCGTCTTTGTCCTCGCATTTGTTTACCGAGGCCTTTAGACTACGTTTGCGTGAGGGTCTCCAGGCAGGGCCCCCGCGCGGAGCCGAAGCCCTGCCTCCGGGCGGCTGGTGGGCCAGCAGGCCCGTGGGCACAAGCAAAGTGAAGGGTGTGCCGCTCAGCGGGGCAAGTGTCTTCTCAATAGGCCACGGGCCAAACCCCAGCCCTGGTTCTTTGGGGACACCCTAGAAATACAACTTTTAGCCTAACGTGCACCTCATGCACGCTGCTTAATGGCATATTCTCCCTTGGGACCGTACGATTACCCCAGCTTTTCTGTCGCTCGCTTTGAAAGGGAAAAACCCTGCGTGGACAGGAGGACTGGTGTGTGTTACTCTGCTAGCAGTGGCCAAGAAGAGCATAAAGCCTCAGGCCTCCTAATGCCATGTGTCTCCTATTTCAAAACCAACGGGCAGATGAAAGAAACAGCAAAAGGGTTTTTTTGGGGTTGTTGGGTTTTGGGTTTTTTTGTTTTGGGTTTGTTTGTTTTTTTTTTAATGTACACAAAGTGTAGCTTCTTTGATAGAAAACTCATTCTTCCCCTAGGCTCTATCCCCTGCCCCTTTGCAAAGCTGCAAATGAAATGCGGCCTAATATTTACATGTACACTTCAGGTCAAAGATCAGGCCATTAAAGGCACAATAATAGCACATAGTAAAAATAATTCAGTAGTGAAATATATTTGCACATGTGAAATAATTTTAATAAATTATAGAAGTACACCGGTTTTGGTTGTCTGGTGTTAGAGATGTACCTGCATAGTGCTTTTGGATTTTCTCTGCACTCAGCATATACTCTATCTTAAACTCTCACTTCAAGGGACTCTCCAACTCTATACACAAGGGAAGTCTGCAAAACACCTTCAAAAGATAATTCTGAGACCTTAAAACTCACAGTCTTACTTCATGGTGGTGTGGGTTTTAGAGCTCAGTCTCATCTATTTTCCCCCCACTAACTCCTGAGTGACCATGAGCTGTCCCTCTGTCCCATGAGATGGGAGGAGCTGCCAACCTGGCCCGTCCTCTTGCTGCTCCATAGGTGCCAGTCTCCTGTCTTCTCCGTGCTTCAGCAGCATATGAGGTAAGTCCAGAGCTGCCATTTCTGCTCTGTTCATAGGTTGGAATTTGCTGTTCACTTTGAAACCTCAAAGCAGCAGATGTTTCTCTCCCCCTTCACAACAAGGTCCATCATTCTACTGGAAAATACCACTTCTCTTGTGTAAAATCAACATCGTTCTCAGAGCTTCACAATTATCCCATAATCACTACTGGAAATACTTCAGAAAAAAAAGAATATAATGATTGCTACCTTTGCTTGGGCGTGACCTTTATCTGAGCCAGTTTCTTCTCTCCTATTATGTTCCAATCAAAATCAAATGCTCAGAAGTTTTAGGAACTCCCAAGTAGATAGCACCCCAAAGCATGAGGTTTAGAAAGCTCTCCTCAGCTTGCTACAGCAGTAACAGTTATGGACAGCAAGGCTCTTCAGATTTGAATCATCCCTCTTGAGCTGTGCTTTTAAGAACATAATATGGGAGTGTGCATCTTATGACGCATTCTGCAAGAGGGGAAAGCTTGCTAGACCATCAAAGGGTTTCCCTCAAATCTCCTCCATAGTCAGTAAAATCAGACCACTTCAGCAATCGAGAAGATTTGATAGTTCCTATTGCTTCCAAACAGTTACAGCATGTATAAAGAGGGTCTTGTCTCTGCAAAGTCTAAATGGCTGTGCATACAGATCCAGCCTACTAGTGAGAAATGAACTACCTCGGTGTTCTTACTATGCAGCCAGCAAGCAGTTCAAGTGTAACTTCGAGGCCAAGGCTCTGTGAGATGCCTGCCAGCAAGACCTCATCCCTAGCTCTGGGAGGGAACAAGGTAACGAGCTGCTGATGCAGAGAACCGTCTTGTTTTCCCAGTCTAAGGAAGTCCACCTCCATTTCAGTGCTATGGTGGGATAGCAAAGGAGCTGCTGCCATTTCCTGCCTGTGAAATGCTCCCAAAGATTCTTATCTCTAAAGTATGGAAGCTCTTAGCAATGATGAAGACTTTGGCATACAGCTCACGGGATCAGGGAGAGTCAGCTTTCCTTCACAGGACTTCAGTGGAGAACGTCAGAGAAACTGGCTGTACCTTAGCCCATTGCTGGTTTGTACCTGAGCTTCCTGCCAGTATGACAGCATGTTTCCCTGATGCTATTTTGCTCTGAACTTCTTCAGCAGCTGTACATTTTAGGATATACAAAGTGGTTGTTACTTTTTCTGGCCAGGTCCCAGCTGTCTACTCCTGCCTCAGCAGCTCCAGACACAGAGGAGGCTGGTCAATAGTGCAAGATACTCCCTGATACATTAATGGCAGAGTGCTGAAGAAGATAAATATAAACATTTAATAACTGCCTTATTCAGCCCATCTGATACTTTAAATGAAGCAGAGCCCCTAGGGAGAGAAAATAAAGAAAAAGAGTATGTGATCATGTAATTGAAGACTGGATCATAATGAATATGCACAGAAGGCTTGAATTAAGGTTGTATGGCAACCCAGCTTCTGATTATTTCCTAACTTTTAAGCAATACAATGCAACCTTTACAACATTTCTTTTGTGTTGTTTTGGCAGGAACTGTTTCTCGCCATTGGTTTGGAGAGAGCCTAGCACTTTGTGAGTCTGTCATAATAGAAATAAGTAATAGAAATACAACTACTTTTATCTGTGCCACACACACACATACACACCCTGCAACTATTGCAACACGTTCCTTCCCCAGCTTTTTCTGAAGGAAGCTACTGAGTGTTCTTTATGGTAAGTGGGAAGATACAAGAATTCAAAGGAGAAGAATTAGAATTTGATTTTTAAAAGATTTGATCTGATCCTAGAGTCTGAATTAATATATATCTGTTTACAAAAATAAACACACTACATGTACAGCATGGATTTTTTTTTTTTCCTCTTTAGGAAATTATTCCTGACAGAATAAGGAAATGCAAGAAAGTGTGAAGGTGTTACAGGCTTTTTATGCAGAATCTTGTGAAAGTCTGTCAGTGTAGAAAAGCATTAGGTTTGTTCTATTCCAGTCAATTCTAGCTATGGTTTTGCACTGTTTGGCATTGACCTAATAAAGAAGTAACAGTTGAGAAATAATTGGTATTTGTTTCCAGAAAGCTCTATATGTGCCTTAGATTGGCATAAGCTTTTTCTCACCTGTTAGCTGAAGAGTACTGCTTGCAATACATAAAATACAACAAAATCCATTCTATGTATTGAGTTTATTTTTCGTGTAGGTTGATGTTATTAGAATGCCACGTTATTTTTGTCATTTAGCAAACATTTGAAAGCGTATAGCAAGAGGTTGCTGCTTTTTTGTTGTTGTTGTTTTTGTTTCTGCAGAGGAAAGCTTACCATGGGATGCATAAAACATTTATTAATGTTTTTACTCTCTTTAGTCTTTGCTCTGAATATGTAGTGACATCTGTAGAGACATTAAGTTGCTCTTCCAGGGGGCAGATGTAACCCAGAGAGTCCATAACAAGCCCTGCATGTCCACACTGCTCCCCACAGGACCCCATGGCTTGGTTGTGAGTTCCCACCTTGTTCCATAAAGTTGTCAAGCAGGCACCTCTCAAGCTACAGCGGTGATATTGGAGTCCTTCTTGGAAAGACTTTGGCCATGCAACTTGGATTAAGATGAAGACAGAAGTGGTTATCCCCCCTTGCTGCAGGGTGAGTGCCCGTTAGTACCTGTCAAGGGTTATCTTGGGCCTAATTGCTTTCCTCATTCACATTGCGTTGCCACAAGACATGTTTGGACTTGAGCTCGCACTCAGACCTGGGCTCAGAAGTTTATTATGGAGCCAGCCCCCTTGTAAAGCAGCACTCTGCAGTGAGACAGGGGTAAAGGCTTTTCACTCTGATTGTAAGGCTTTCCCTCAACACAGCATTATGACATTCAAAGTAACCACAGTGTTGTAGCAATGAGTGTTTTATCCTGAAAAAGTGCAGGGGTGAAGAAGGCAGTTGCATATTCTTCCAAAATGGAGAAGTCTTACTTCTGAAAGCATAAGATAGACTGATATGAGTCAGAGAAAGGGCAAAAGTCTGATTTTTGACCACATTGGGAACCCCCCTCTTCCTTCAACATGTTCATGCATGCACACACACAGACGTACACACATGCACGCACTCTGCATTTGTAGACTGGTCTGTCAGGCAATGAATTCCTCAAACCGTTTCTCACACAAGTAGAGTCCTGTTTAAGCAAGTGGGACAAGTCCCATAAGCCAAAGTCCCATTATGCAGTCCAGCTATAGTCTAACAAACATCTCTGCCACTGCAGGAAGATTGAGAGGGGAT